GTTTGGGGAACATCTGTAACGGTCCCCGTTACAATTAGCACTTGTTATTATTGTTTTTTTTTCTTACCGATTTTGTGCACGCGATTTCTCGAAAACGGCTGGATAGATTTTCATGAAACTTTCAGGACTGATAGAACATCAAACAAAGCTGAAAGTAAATTTTTTGTTTTGATGACGTCACTTCCGGTTTTGAGATTTCAACGATTTAATGATTTTCAGGGGGTCTCATTGTCCATCATTTTTTTCGAAAATGCCTTAAGACAGAAACATGAGATTTTCAGCGATGATAGAGCAACGTATGCTCTTTTGTCACACACCACTCTTTTTCTCCGGAAGTGCCGCACGTCGGCGCTCGGTATGGCTCGAAAAAAGTCCTGTCGAGGATTAAGAATTTTTTGACACCTTTTCAGCAAAATCTTTTTACATGTTAACAATTTGTAAAGACATATAGAACAAAAGTTGTAGAGAATGTCACGATCTTTCGAAAAATATCAACAATAAGGGGCTGGCCCCTATAATAAAGGGCCAAAAGGGGCCGAAACTTTTTCCGTTATATCTCAAAAAGTATTGAGAATTTGTAATACGTCAAAGAAGCAAAGTTGTTCAAAATGTCATGCATTATCTAATGGGTTCGTCAAAATACGTCCGGCGACGTCACTTCCGGTCAAACCGGAGGTAGTCAAAAATTGCACATTTTTGCTCTTCTTGACACGATTTTGGCTAACATATGTCACTGGAAGCTTAAATCTTAATTTTCCGTCCGTCGACGTCACTTCCGGTCAAACCGGAAGTAGCCAAAAATAGCTTATTTTGAAGGTTTAAATGCAAAATTGAAATTATAAAGTCACTGGAGACTACTTAGCTCATTGCTTTCTTTGTTCACGTCACTTCCGGCACATCCGGTCAAAACCGGACGGAAGACCTACTCGTTGCTTTGCAACGAGCTCGGCTCTAGTTAAGGTCTTCCGTCTTCAGCGGAAGACCTTCTTGTTATTCTTAGGTTTCTTTTCCACTATTTTTATTATTTTTATTGTTTTTTTTCTTACCGATTTTGTGTACACGATTTCTCAGAGACGGCTCGCTCGATTTTCATGAAACTTTCAGGACTGATAGATCATCAAACAAAGCTGATATATAATTTTTTGTTTTGATGACGTCACTTCCGGTTTTGATATTTTTGCGATTTAGTGATTTTCAGGGGGTCAGTTTGTCCGCGAGTTTTCTCAAAAACGGTTTAAGATAGAAACTTGAGTTTTTGAGCAATGGTAGAGCAATGTCTGTAGATGTGACATACGCATTTCATTTCTACCGGAAGTGCTGCACGCCGACGCTCGCTATGGTCCAAAAATGGGCATGTCGAGAATTTTAAAATTTCTAACACCTTTTCTTCGATATCTTTTCACATACAAATATTTTGTTAAGACGTATAGAACAAAAGAAGTGTAGAATTACATGATCTTTCAAATGATATCTCGAAAAAAGGGCTGGCCCCTAAAATAAAGGGCCTAGAGGGGCCGAAAGATTTTCATTTATATCTCAAAAAGTATTGAGAATTTGTAAAACGTTTAAAAGGCAAAATTGTTCAAAATGTCAAGCTTAATCTATTGGCGTCGTCAAAATGCATTCGGCGACGTCACTTCCGGTCAAACCGGAAGTCGTCAGAATATGCATATTTTTGCCGTTCTTGACATATTTTTGGGTAACATATGTATCTGGAAGCATAAAACTTAATTTTCTGTCCGTTAACATCACTTCCGGTCAAACCGGAAGTGACTGAAAGTAGCCAAAAATAGCTTATTTTTGAAGGTTTAAATGCAAAATCAAAATTATAAAGTCAATGGAGACCACTTAGCTCATTTGCTTTTATTTGTTGACGTCACTTCCGGTCAAAACAGGACGGAAGACCTACTCGTTGCTTTGCAACGAGCTTTGCTCTAGTTATTATTATTTTTCTTCTTCCTGGGAAAATTTTGTCCACGAGTGATCTTGTAAACTACACATCCGACTTAGGTGAAACCTTTTTAGGGTCAGTAGGCGTGTTATGTAGAGTTGCCAAACAAAGGTCTTTTTGCGCGCACGTGCTTGCAAGAGCGCGCACGTGCAACATGTGAAATTACCAATATAATGGATATTGCCGTAACTTTTCTATTTTTTGATGAATTTTTTTGAAACTCATAATGTAAGGATACATTAGTAGTATAGACAAGATAGCATGGTCAAAATAGCAAGATCTCACGCGCATGCACGTGCGCATTGCTCTGATTGGCTGATATTAAAGTCTCAATAACTTTCTTGTTTCTTGTCATAATCCTTTGAAATTTTGAACATAGTCCTACATTATGAAGATCTACCACATGATATATAAAAATTTTCATGAAACATGCGCATGTGTGCGTGCTGCAAGCTGATTGGTTGAAACTTTAAATGGCAATATCTCCTTTGTTTTTTGACGAAATTCTTTGAAATTTAAAATATAGTCATGCATTAGGATATCCTACAAAATGATATAGAAAAAAAATCATGAAATCACGCGCATGCACGTGTGCTGCAATCTGATTGGCTGAAACTTTAAATGGCTATTTCTCCTTTGTTTTTTGATGAAATTCTTTGAAATTTAAAATATAGTCATGCATTAGGATATCCTACAAAATGATATAGAAAAAAAATCATGAAATCACGCACATGCACGTGTGCTGCAATCTGATTGGCTGAAACTTTAAATAACTATTTATCCTTTGTTTTTTGACGAAATTCTTTGAAATTTAAAATATATTCATGCATTAGGATATCCTACAAAATGATATTTAAAAAATCATAAAATTACGCGCATGCACGTGTGCTGAAATCTAATTGGCTGAAACTTTAAATGGCTATAACTCCCTTGTTTTTCAACCAAACAGGATGGGATTTAGAACATAGATAGATGTAAGGGACTCCTACAAGAAGGTATTATCATAATGCACGTGCACGCACGTGCGTGCATTTGAAACGAGTATATTTTAAAATACTCTTGAATGAGTGATTTTTATTACTTTTGGACTGAATGCTCTAATATATTGTATACTGAAATATATAAATAGTGCAGACAAGATAAAATGGTCATAACGCACATGCATTCACATGCGCTTGGGTGCAATGCTAAAAATTGAATATAATTGATATCCTTCTGGGAAAACATTGTTAAAGTCAAAAATGCACAGAGTTTGTCTTATTTAATGAAACTTACAGGGGATATGGCACCGAAAGGGAGTTGGGGAGCGTTTGGGGAACATCTGTAACGGTTCCCGTTACAATTAGCACTAGTTATTATTATTATTATTATTATTATTATTTTTCTTCTTCCTGGGAAAATTTTGTCCACGAGTGATCTTGTAAACTACACATCCGACTTGGGTGAAACCTTTTTAGGGTCAGTAGGCATGTTATGTAGAGTTGCCAAACAAAGGTCATTTTGCGCGCACGTGCTTGCAAGAGCGCGCACGTGCAACATGTGAAATTACCAATGTAATGGATATTGCCGTAACTTTTCTATTTTTTGATGAATTTTTTTGAAACTCATAATGTAAGGATACATTAGTAGTATAGACAAGACAGCATGGTCAAAATAGCAAGATCTCACGCGCATGCACGTGCGCTTTGCTCTGATTGGCTGAAATTAAAGTCTCAATAACTTTCTTGTTTCTTGTCATAATCCTTTGAAATTTTGAACATAGTCCTACATTATGAAGATCTACCACATGATATATAAGAATTTTCATGAAAGAATGCGCATATGCGCGTGCTGCAAGCTGATTGGCTGAAACTTTAAATGGCAATATCTCCTTTGTTTTTTGACGAAATTCTTTGAAATTTAAAATATAGTCATGCATTGGGATATCCTACTAAATGATATTAAAAAATCATAAAATTACGAGCATGCACGTGTGCTGAAATCTGATTGGCTGAAACTTTAAATGGCTATAACTCCCTTGTTTTTCAACCAAACAGGATGGGATTTAGAACATAGATAGATGTAAGGGACTCCTACAAGAATGTATTATCATAATGCACATGCACGCACGTGCGTGCATTTGAAACGAGTATATTTAAAAATACTCTTGAATGAGTGATTTTTATTACTTTTGGACTGAATGCTCTAATATATAGTATATTGAAATATATAAATAGTGTAGACAAGATAATACCGTAAATCTGGAAATTTTTACGTCGATTTTATTTTGCGAATTTTAGTCAAAATGGTGTTGATTAATTTTTACGTTTCAAAATTTTGCGAATCACCACTGCTTTATTAACTTTTTCTTATTGGTAATTTATTCTTAAGAAAAATATTTTTGCGAATGCAACGAACTCGCAAATTTGCTAAAAATTTATCTACAGCAAAAATTTCCAGATTTACGGTATGGTCATAACGCACATGCATTCACATGCGCTTGGGTGCAATGCTAAAAATTGAATATAATTGATATCCTTCTGGGAAAACATTGTTAAAGTCAAAAATGCACAGAGTTTGTCTTATTTAATGAAGCTTACAGGGGATATGGCACCGAAAGGGAGTTGGGGAGCGTTTGGGGAACATCTGTAACGGTTCCCGTTACAATTAGCACTAGTTTATTTCAATTTCATAATGATTCAGTTTTAGTTGTTAACGCCTCATTTAATTGAATGAATATAAATCATATAACCTGGATTGCCTACATAAAAAACATATCAGTCCAATTGATGTTTCCCTTAATAAAATACAGCAATTTTGAACATGTTGAAGGAACAATCATTTTATTTTCTACATTTAATAACTGGAAAATTAAATTATAAGGAATGAACTAAACAACTACCTAAGTTATACTGGTTTGCATATAAACTGAGTTTGAAGAGTTTATGTTTTTTTTAATAAACTGCTTTGTAGTTTGTAAATTAAAGTGTAAACTGCCCCAACACAGGTTATACCAGTATAACTTGAGTAGCTATTAAATTCATTCCTTACATAATATTTATTGCTACAGGTATCCTACATATACAAGATAAAACTAGACAAAAAGTCTGGAGATCCTGTAAACACACACTGTGAGTGTCCAGCAGGGAAGGGGCCTCATGGAAGCTGCAAACACATTGCTGCAGTCCTCCTGATGATGAAAGAGTTTACAGAATCAAGAGAACTCAGACTAGGGAAGTCGTGCACTGATACTTTAATGATGTTTACAAAACCAAAATCCTCCTATGATGGTAATTATGTTCCCCTAACGAAGTTGGGGAACATATTGTTTTTACTCTGTTTCTTATTATTATTATTATTATTATTATTATTTTTCTTCTTCCTGGGAAAATTTTGTCCACGAGTGATCTTGTAAACAACACATCTGACTTAGGTGAAACCTTTTTAGGGTCAGTAGGCATGTTATGTAGAGTTGCCAAACAAAGGTCATTTTGCGCGCACGTGCTTGCAAGAGCGCGCACGTGCAACACTTGAAATGACCAATATAATGGATTTTGACGTAACTTTTCTATTTTTTGATGAAAATTCTTAAAACTCATAATGTAAGGATATATTAGTAGTATAGACAAGATGACATGGTCAAAATAGCAAGATCTCACGCACATGCACGTGCGCTTCGCTCTGATTGGCTGAAACTAAAGTCTCAATATCTTTCTTGTTTTAAGTCATAATCCTTTGAAATTTTGAACTTAGTCACACATTATAAAGGTCTACAGCCTGATATATAAGAATTTTCATGAAAGCACGTACATGCACATGTGCTGGAAAGAGCGCGCACGTGCAACATGTGAAATATGATGCCATAACATTTCTATTTCTTGATGAATTTTTTGAAACTCATAATGTAAGAAGACATTAGTAGTATAGACAAGATGACATGGTCAAAATAGCAAGATCTCACGCACATGCACGTGCGCTTCGCTCTGATTGGCTGAAACTAAAGTCTCAATATCTTTCTTGTTTTTTGTCATAATCCTTTGAAATTTTGAACATAGTCCTACATTATGAAGATCTACAGCCTGATAAATAAAAATTTTCATGAAAGCATGCGCATGCGCGCGTGCTGCAATCTGATTGGCTGAAACTTTAAATGGCTATATCTCCCTTGTTTTTTGACGAAATGCTTTGAAATTTAAAGCATAGACATGCATTAGGATATCCTACAATATGATATAGAAAAAATTCATGAAATCACGCGCATGCACGTGTGCTGCAATCTGATTGGCTGAAACTTGAAATGGCTATAACTCCCTTGTTTTTAAACCAAACAGGGTGAGATTTAGAACATAGATAGATATAAGGGACTCCTAAAAGAAGGTATGGCCATCATGCACGTGCACGCACGTGCATGCATTTGGAACTTAAAATACACTTGAATGAGTAATTTTTAATACTTTTGGACTGAATGCTTTAATATATAGTATATTAAAATATATAGATAGTGTAGACAAGATGATATGGTCATAACGCACATGCATTCACATGCGCACGGGTGCAATGCTACAGTTTGAATATAATTGGTATCCTTTGGTAATTGGTATCCTTCTCGGTAAACGTTGTTAAAGTAAAAAATGCACAGAATTTGTCTTATTTAATGAAACTTACAGGGAATATGGCACCAAAATGAAGTTGGGGAGCGTTTGGGGAACATCTGTAACGGTTCCCGTTACAATTAGCACTAGTTTATTATTCCTTTAAATAATTTAGTAAATTCTGGATATTGTACGTTTCTTTGATACCGTATAATTTAACCATTTTTGTTCATTTCACAGTAGTGCAATTTGTTTATTTTTTTGTGTGCTTTCAAGGATCTCCAGTCAAAGCTGAAAACCTTCCAACAAAGAGAAAGTTAGCTGCAGACTTCCTCAGTGACCCAAGGCCAGAGAAAAGAAGAAACTGTCCGGGATACAACGACTATGTACAATCTATAGTTACCAATTACTGCAGCCAGTCCTCCAATGATATCTCATTCCGATACATGTATGGGAAGGCAAATATTCAGGTATATATATTTGAATGAAATAAGAAATTAATTACATTCTGGTGAAGTTGTATTTTTAACAGTGTACAAGTAATTAATATGACAAAAAAAAAATTTTTCAAGGCTGCTGTCAAAGATCACGACTATTGCCAATTGCCCTTTACTGAGCACTGGGTTGATGATTCCATTAAGGTACATGTGATAGATTTTGTTAAAATAAATCTAACTCTTATGATTTTTAGTTGTTTATCAATTAATGCTATTTTTACACATATATAGGTTACAGAATCTGATGTAGTCAGGATTGAAGAGTCCACAAGACAACAGAGTGCAAGCCAGATTTGGTTCATCGAGAGGAAGTGGCGCCTTACGGCATCAAAGTTTGGGGAAATTTGCAAGGCCACTTCTCGTCGAAATACCAAGAAGCTGTGTGCTGCATTATTGTCTGATGTACAAATCAACAGTGAAGCTTTGCGGCATGGAAAAAATTATGAGGCAAAAGCTTTGAAAGTATTCAACAGCAAATTTAATGTAAATGCTAAGAAATGTGGGTTTTTTGTTTGTTTAGACAAGCCTTTTTTAGGTGCTTCTCCTGATGCTGTTGTTGATGGAAGTAGTATTGTTGAAATTAAATGTCCATTTAATGGCAGAAATGATGTTGTGAAACCAGGGAAAAATTTCAAATTTTTGAAATATGATGATGAGGGTAAAATTGTTTTGAAGACTTCAAGCAAATATTATGACCAGATACAAGGCCAGCTTTATGTTACTAAAAGGTCTCTGTGCTACTTTGTTGTATATACCTTAAGCGATTTGTTTGTACAGAAAATCTTGTTTGACGATGAATACTGTAACAATTGTCTCCTTCCTAAGCTAGAAACTTTTTACAAAACGTTTTTCAGAAGCTATGTTGCATCACTGTTTTAAAAGGAAATGTTATTTGTATTGCATTGCACAGAACTATCTTTCAGGAGTCCATTTGCCATTCAAAGTGGTCAATGGTCAAGAAACTTATAAAAATAATAAGTATAACAAACAGTGTTAATACATGTTTATTGCATTTGGAAATATTTATTTTATCAATGGGTACATGTCATAAATTTTTTCATAAACAAACATATATTATTTTATTTCATCTTGTCTAAAAACAAAACAAAAATTATTTGTACTGAAATTCCACCACAGCTCTCAAATACTGAACAGTTACAGTTTGCTAAATATGGATTTTCAATAATGCCTTGAAGAGCATGTTTCTTTAAAAAATAGTGCATCCTAGTCATTATTGTATGTTGTACATTATATACATGTATTTTTCAACTGTACTACAGTATTTAAAAAATATATACTTTTACATGGATTTTACATGTTTTTTTTTAACACTCAATGGAATTAGAACCCTCCAGTTTGTAATGTTTAGGGCTTCCACAAGAACATGAATGATCTTTATACATGTATTGAATACTGCAAAAACTTGAATGACAAGAGGCCCATGGGTCACATCGCTCACCTGAGCACTGTGGCTAGGAATAAGTAGAAATTGGTTTATTATTGAAAAGTTTAAATACAATAGTAGTCCCATGCTATTCTTGAGAAGATGATTTTTAAAGAATTTTACTAAATATTTCTATGTAAAACTTTGGTTGGCCATTGTAGCCCCGCCCTACCCTCGGGGGTCATGATTTGAACAAACTTGGATCTACACTACCTGAGGATGTTTTCACATAAGTTTCATCTTTCCTGACACAGTGGTTCTTGAGAAGAAGATATTTAAAACATACCACCAAATTTTCATTAATTTCCAATTACCTCCCCTTGAATGAGGGCGTGGCCCTTCATTTGAACAAACATGAATCCCTTTCACTTAAGGATGCTTTGTGGCAAGTTTGGTTGAAATTGGCCCAGCGGTTCTTGAGAAAAAGTGGAAAATGTGAAAAGTTTACAACAACGACGACAACGACAGACAACGGACAAATTTTGATCAGAAAAGCTCACTTGAGCCTTTGGCTCAGGTGAGCTAATAAAAGGTATTAATCTCAACACTATCTCTGTGGTGAAACTGAATTTTATCCATAAATTTTCAGTACATATTAGCAACAGTTTTTTTTTTCAAATAAAAAGTAACTTTGAATATCATCTTATGCATTCTTTGGAACAATATTTCTCCTGAAGTTTGATATGGCAAAACAAATAAATATGATACGAGACCCTAACTGAAGTTTACTTTTCGAAATCCCATGCTTCAATATTTTGAAACTCTTTGACAAACCGATGACTCTTTCTATGTGGATTCTTTTAGACGCCACTCGTCGATAATGAACCACTTCGTCTGGGTCTAATTGCGATTTTCCCTTTAACAGCGTAGGGGTATTAATATGAACATCTTGATTAGCAAATAAATCCTGAACCATAATGCCTCTATCAGCCATTATGGAATCGCCCTTTTCAAAAAGCTTTAATGTAGGCTCCAGAAGACAAGATTTTTCAATAATCTGTCTGTCAGAAGCAGAGCCACCATAAGAATCAGAAATGAAGGTTATGGCACCCTTTGGACTGCAGCCAATCATGGTCTTGAGGGTGTTTTTATGCTTATAATTTGACCAAGTCACACTCTGACAGTTTACATGGGACGGCCTTTCAATAGGTATCTCAGTGGCATCTAGTATTACTCTGGTGTTAGGGAATTTTGATTTAAAGTCTTGGGGCATGTGTTCATGGATGACAACTGGTGATGGCCAAAAGTTAATCTCTTTTAATTGAAAATACATGAAATTTATCCATGTAATAATTATTCTGGATACCGTGGACTCTGACACATTAAAAAGCATTGACAATTCAACATCTTCTTTGTCTTGTCTAAGTTTGATAAGAGTCATAAACAACTGGTCTTTTGGATGAAGTAATGAACACTGGTATGTGAGCTCATATGCACTGGGTCCAAGGCAGTGAAAAAACATCATAAAGTGGTTGTAATCTTGAAACCCAGTGTAGTAGTTAATGATTTTATCATTATTCATGACACTTTCAACAGACAGTTTTCCGAATGTTGGAATTTCACATTGTATACCTTGGTGTTGCAGTGCAGGCTCTTCAGTTGCACATTCATCACAGTCAACAAGTTCTGATTCAGTACTAACCTCTACTTCTTGCTGACAGCCAATCTCCTGGAATGGAATTAAATTTTCTGGGTGTGTGTGCCTCTTCTTAAATCGTTTTTCTCTTGATGACTCTTCATTACTTGCGTTAAATGTAAAAATTGAAGGAACCGCATCTTCCTTTAGTCGTGATCTGTCACCTTATCAAAAAGAAATAGAATGAAATTAATTTATAAGATGAGGAAAATAGTTTGAAATTTTGATTGTAATTTTATTGAATATTTATAAAGTATTGAGCTGGATGTTGATATTTATAACCACAAGTTAAAATAAAATTAGGAAAACATATCAAAAGTTTCTTAAATTAAAATTAAATGAATTATTATTGAGTATTGTATTTATTATAAAAACAATCATCATGCTTATGCTTAGGTTGCCGAAATATATATTTGAATAATTTTACTATAGGCCCTATACAATGGAATTAAAATACTCCCAAATAATTTCATCCACTTCATCTCCATCATCCTTGCTTGCATGTCTGTTTTAACAGGACGTATATACCTGGGAAATTGAAAACAAACCACAAAGCAACACGAACAGGAATTCATTTTATTAGTTTAAAAAAAACAATCATAGAAAAAAATCAATGAAAATTCAACAAAAAATAATCTATGAACGTGTAATTAATACCGTGACTAACCTAATAGTGTCGTCTTGAAGTCACCGGGGAGGAAGTGGGCGTGACACACAACGTCAAATTTGCCAGGTGTCCATAGACGCTTTCTCTGGTCTGTTCGTCTAATAGCAACTCGCCATTTCAATTTCAGTGTATAATCAGACGGAAAGCGATGCCCGCCTGTATTTTTACACCCAGGAACGCAACAATATTGCGGCATCCCTCGTAGTAATGAAATCTATCGTTACCTATACAGTCAGTAAGTTAGCGTCATACGAAAACATTCAAGCGTCTTCAAGACAAAGCGTCCCGCATACCACTTATGAAACAGTAGCGCCACCTTTCGACCTAAAATGCACGGGTGGAACCTATTACTTGTATTCTCTGTTTAACTTGTTCAGTTGTAGCATTGTTTTGATTTAATGTTTTTTCCAGCTTCAGCTCTCTTTCATGAACTTGGTCCAATTTTTTCAAGATTGGATTTTCATGCTCTCCTTCAGAACTTTTGTCTATTTTCTTCTCTAACCTCTGAACCATTTCTGTAAGAGCATTAATTTTTTCATTGTATTTTACATGACTTTCTACTATCTTCATTTCCATCTTGTGTATAGCATGTAATATTATCGACATGATTGGCTGTTGCTTTTCATCTGTTTCTTTTGGATTGTTGTTCGTTTCTTCTTTTAACACATCAGCTTCTGGTTCCACATCACTGACTACCTGCTCGAATCCTTTCAGTAACGTTTCGCTTTCGTCTAAAATTGTGGACTCACTGTCATTAAGAATTGTAGATTGACTATCTTCCAGAATTGTGGGTCGACTCTCATTTAAATCCGCCGTATATTCACTTTCATCTATAACAGGTTTTTTGGACACACTATCATCGAGGTTGGGCATTTTGAGAGACAGCAGTTTTCTGATTTTTTTATCGAACAGTTTTTGGGAGTTACCTCCCTTTGTACATGTATCAATGGTGTTCCGAATTTGCTCGAATTCTTTCTGTAGCCATTTTTGGCACATGTTACCCTGTACCAAACACCGATTAGTAGTATAGTACAATGTAATCGTAATCATTTTCACCTCTTTTGTCTTAATTTGGACAATAGATTTAGCTAGTGCCGGGTGCGGTATTTTTTCTTGGAACGGGTCCTTCTCATCTTTCAGAGATATTGTCGAGTGTTTCTTATCAAAATCGGACCATTCAACATTCACATTCACATTATCTCCTAAGTCTAAAAAGTATCTAATCAGCAGTGCTCTTCTCCAGTATAAAACACTTTTCTTGTTCAGATCAAAAGTTATTTGCTTACTGTCACGTGTTTCGTGGACTTCCACAGGACATTCTTTGAAAATCACTTTTTGGGCCATGGTAAAGAATAATAATAGGTATCTCTAAATGTCAATGCCTTACTTGTATTAAAATAGAGCTTTAAATAAGTTTCATCTGGTCAAATACACCATGTGTTTCTGATTCGCCAGTACGCGCTCAGTTCAGCTGCTTCTTGCCTCCGCCGCCATTTTTTTTTTTTTTTTTTTTAAAGAACTGTAAATTATTTCAGAGAATGTTGGTAATGCCACGACAACATTTGAGAACGTTTCCTCGTTTGAGCCATTTTGATATTCAGCAACGTTAACGTTGTTTTAATGTATTCGTGTGCACTGTTTTTGATGCGTAAATTTAATATACTGAACAAAAAAAAAAGAAACGCATAATCAGAATAATTTGAAATTCTAAGTTTTCAGTTTAAATCTTGTAAAATTTAAGCGATTTTAGAGTGTGTTGAGACAAAAATCAATGTTGCAAATTGAAAAGTCAAGTTGAGGTCATTTTCATTGCCCCCAAATTCAAGGGGCATAACAAAACGTACTGTGCAAAGTCTCAATGCTAGTGGGTTTCCAATGTACGGATATCGTGGGGGAATATCATCTCATTTCAGTCTCATGCGAACAATTTATGCATTTTTATGCTGATTTATTCATCCAGCAATTGTAGCAGCATTTATTACAGCAAGTTCTAAACCACATGAAGTGTTAAGGGGGGGGGGGGGGGTTGTCTGACGGTGCTGCCTGGTTGTGATTACCTGCTGATGGCCAGATAGTGATCTTCAGACGTTAGTTTTAAGGTTGCAAAACCCACCGATTTATTTCAACTAGATGCTGTCATGAGACAGTAATACCCGCACTAAGGTGTTTGCCTCTAAATACACGCTCCTACATATTGGGCGGCTTTCCAAGGAAATAGTCAAAATAATTCTATAATTACATGTATTAATCAAATTGATTATGAAATTCTCAGACCCTGTGACCTATAATTCAGAACCTCTTATATTTATTTTATACATGCTTAATTCATTATATACCAGTCTGAATTTTATTAATGATGTAAATTCATGCACGGATCTGTCGGGGGGGGGGGGGGGGGGGATCAGGACCCCCCCCCCCCCTGGAATTTACAAGGTTAAAAAATGTATACACTAAACACTAAAACAAGGGAAAAGTTACAATGGACCCCCCTGGGAAAATGCAGATCCCCTCCCCCTGGTAAACACGAATATGTGTAAAATAGGTATGAAAAGTTAAACATTTGCGGCAATAGAAGTCACCACTACCCCTACCCCACCTCCACGATATAGGTTTTTGACGTTTGGGTGAGATTTACCTTAGGTTTTTTTTTGATTGTCAATTTCTGGGATAGGATTTTTTTTTTACTGAGGTGGACCCC